ACTCTTTCCTTTTTTTCCCTTTTTTGTTCCACTATTGTTTCAGAAAGGGTTGAAGATGGTTCGAAAGAATGCATACTATAACAAGATAATATAAATGAATAACGAGGTAGAAAATAATAAAGAAAAAATAGGCAAGAACATAAGAATAGAGCCATGAAAGACAATAATCAGAAAAAGCACACCATAAAAAGATGTCCAAAGTTGCTACCAAGAGACTATAAATAAGTTCCCATTTTTTCAGTAGACCAAATGAAAAGATATATATGACACCATTATTGGTATCCATAAGAATCAAATCAAATCAATTGCTTAGGAAAAGTCTAGTTCTTCCTAACACCTTATAAGATCAGGTAGTACTCTTGGGTTCTTCTAGAAAACACAGTATAGTGAATAAAACACAGTATTATTCATTAATAATAACCTCAGCAACAGCTATCACACTTAATCTGCTGTTACTGTTAGAGAAGACCTAAAAGCCTTTGAAGCACCGACTCAAACTTTCCCCAGCTTATGGAAGATATGATGCACCAGTTAAAGTAAACTAGTCTCTAAACATAGAGAGAAAATAAGAGTTCAGAACTGTGGGCAAAATGGAACAGCTGTACTATTTTTTGTACTATCTTATGACTGAATATTTATTACTTGGTTTGAGGTGATAATGATTCCTAGGTCATCAGTCATGCTCAATATTTAGTAGATTCTCTCCTAAAAGTCAATTGGAGATGATAATTAAGTTATTAACTTTTTTGGTTTGTTCACAGCTTTTCTCCTTTTAATTAACGCTCAAAAATTTTACCTGAGTTGAAATTGTCTTTGCATAAATTGGGTCACTCACTTCTAAGCTACTTTTGCTTCCCTTTTTAGAGCCAATGAAAGCAGAGGTACTTGCATGCAAAAGAGAAATGAAGTAAGCTGGCAAGCTTTCCTTTTAGCAATGTTAACATGTCGTCTGTGAAATGAAGGTGGGAAGCAGTGACAATAGTTAATTGTCAGGAAAAGTTTCCTTTTCTCTTTCTGTCCCAGAGTTTGGCTTTAAAACTCAACAGGTTTGGAACTTTCTTTGTCCAGAGTAAGATCATATCCTAGGAAAACCGAGTCATGCTGCCCAAACGTATAAGGGATGGATTTGTACTAGAAAGCCAATAATTTATTGTAAGGAACAGAACTGTCAAATTGACTAAAATGTATGTCGGCCTGTCAGCATATTTTCCTTTCAGTAGGGTTGCCAAATCAGAATACTAGATTAACAACAGTTTGGAGCTAGATAAATATATGAAATCAGAATTAAGAAGGTGATTGCAAGTTCAAGCATATTTTATTTGATATACCTAAGCTAGGATGGGTAACCTATCCTTTTGCCAGTCCACACAAGCCATGGCCTTTTCATAAATCAGTTCAAGCTCTTAGTTTCTAATACTGAAAGTATTCTTTTCCTGATGTCCTTGAAATTTTAATAGACATTTTTGAGTGTTGGACATGGCCCCATCTAGTTCTGGTTTTAGAAACAGAGCTTGTTGTAAATCCAGGTTTCCTTACTATAAAATATTGTCATTTCCTTCTTTTTTCAGTCTTATCCATAAATTCAAATGCTACTGTTTCACCTAACCCACAGTACTTTATTTTTCTCCTTTGCTATGGCTATTACCCAGAAAGCTCTTTGCAGCTATAGACCATAATGTCTGAATATGGTTCCCTTACATGCCCACAGAGGTTTCTGCTACTTTGCAAGACTTGTTTCTCAGAACTACTCTCAGACTTGGCTGACACTATAGTCCCTAAGAGTATGGTCTTTCTTAATTTGTATACGTAAAAATCCCCATAGACATTATGCATAAAAACCAAAATCTTAGTAATCTGTAGGGAGATTCTGTAATAAACAAAGTTTATTCATGCATTATTTGAACATTAATTTTTTATTCTTTCCCTCACTTATGCATTCAACAAACATTTATAAAAGGACTTTGTGCTGGACTGATTGAAAATGCAGAGATGAGTCAGACATGATCTTTGCCCTCAAGCAGTTTTCGGTATACTAAGGGGATAAGAAATATACAGAAATAACTAAACTATACATTAAATTATGAGCCTTGAGATGAGAGTTTGAGGAAAATGCATTCCAGAAGGAGGGAATAGCTTAATCAAAGATAGTCCTACTATTGTTAGTTCTGACTTGTATTCTTGAGGATTTTTTACCCTTTGCCCCTCAGGCTAGAAAGAATTCCAGCTTTCTTGTTCTTGGGTAAACTACTTAAGGTTTTGCCTCAAAATTTCATCTTGCCATGGAGAATGCTGGAATTCAGTAAAACAGATAGGCATGTGGGATGTGTTGGAAGGAAATAAGGTGAGCAACTGTGAGGAAGGCTAATATATAGTCATTGATTTTGCATAGCTTTTGGCTCCATGCTATTTGAAGCTGCACCAATGAATTAAAAATAAAATAAACCTTGAGTAGCGTCATCTGCTCAAGGGACTTACCTTCGGTCTGTGCAAATAACGTTTCTGTGGTGAGACACCAAATGCACTCAACTTCCTCTTTCAACAACAAATTTGTCAGTTATCAGCAGGATCCATACCACTCAGATTAAGCTTTTTCACCCCCAGGTCCCTGAAAAGAAACAAGAGTGCTAATCCATCAAGGCTCCAGGGTAAGTTACAGCCTAGTATCTGGGAATTGGTGGTTTATGTGGGACGATTTGTGGGGGCATGAAGATCTAGGACAGTGGCAGATGTGAGACCAGTGTCAAAATTGAAAATGGTCTCTGGTTTCTCATTTCAGACTTCTTACAGCAGAAGCAATGGTGATATCCATTGAGTCTGACTAGATTACAAAGTTAGGGTTAATGCTATCAGTCCCCACCATGACACAGGAGCATGGAGTCTGTGATGCATCTCACACTTTGCTGAGGGCTCTTTGTTTCTTCATCAACCAGGGAGGATGGCACAAAATGGTAAGAAAACAGTGTATTCAGTGATACTCAATGAGACAACTTGACATATTCAGCCAGAAAAAGAGGATTTGAATTTTTGCTCTATATTGTCTTTCTAGTTGCATAATGAAGAAAATGTTTTATGTATAAACTCCTCCCTTTGTATGTTTAGCTTTCATAGTTACAGTAATAGATAGTAAGTTCTATCAAGAGAAAAGAAAAGAATGTCAGATCATATATTTTGGAGCTGAAAGAGCTCTTAGAGATCCAAATCCCTCACAATGCAGATGGAAAAACTGAGAGCCAGTGACGACATTTAGGATAGATCACTCAGCTAGTTAATGGTAGAGCTGGAAGTAGAATCTGTGTCTTCTAAATCATGTTCTCTTTCCCATACAGCAGCCCATATCTTCCAGAGAATACTGTAAATGCATTAATAACTATGTTGAATTTTAGGTCAGGGAAGGAGAAAATATCCCAGATGGTAAGCTCTGGTAAAATGATTTCAGAGTCTGTTCAGAGTTATTTCTTTTATTGTGGTTTTTGTGAGGAGTATTCTCAGTCCCAAGGATCCTGCAAGTGGGGATATTTTTATTTTTATTGGTCAAATGGATCTGGAGGGTTATGATCATTTCTATTAATTGAAGAGTTTATCTCTTAGCAATTGTGACACAGTAAAATTATTTGCTGCTGAAAATAAGTGATATGCTGGTATACTAAGGCAAGACATGGCCTGAGTTATACAAATAATTAGGTCTTGCATTCAGGGTAATTGTTTTTGCAATGTTTCCTGTTGAAGACAGGTCCTTCTTTGGTCAAAAGCAGTTCATTTGGGGGCTTAACTGAGAAAGTTATGGAGTTCAAGTTGTATACTCTGCTCAAATCCTAACAGTGGTGGAACATAAGATATCGAATGAGTAACCATACTTCTGGGTAGTTTTGAGTGGTTCTTCATGACCAGTTGTGTCTGAAGTAAGTCAATTGGTATCCTAAGAGGCAGGGAAGTATATAAGCCTCTGTCACAGTTTAGCAAAGAGGACAGAGCTGTCTGTTGTGAAACCACCCTTTTTAAGTGTTCTAACAATCAAGGCAATGACTGGCAGGTAGTTTATGCTTTATTTAAAATCATTTGGTCAAAATCCAAGTCAGGAATTTTGCAGGGAAGTTTTAATCTAGTTTGATTCACATGCATCACAGAGAGAGTGATGAAGCAGATTAATCAATACACAGAGAGTCAAGCTCAAGTGCTGTCAATGACTCACTTTGTAACCTTAAGCAAGTTGCTTTATTTCTTTGGCTCTCAATATTCTAACCTATAATAGGGGGAAGGCTTGGACTAAATGGTCTTTAATTTCTTTCCTATCAATACAATGATTTGACTCTAGGCTCCTATGTAACTGATAAGAGTTATATATCATGAAATGGTAAATAATTGGGCTATAGTAGGGAAATTTGACTACAGGAGACCTGAAAATATAGTCTATATCTCAAAGGGCCATTGTATATTTTTTTTTCAGAATAATGTTATTATGAGAGATTCAATTTTTAGACCACAGGCAAGTGTTTTGCAAGTAATTTCCCTTTTCAAAAAATGATAAAACACAAACAACAAACAAGGGAAAAAATTGTGAATTCTGATTTCTATTATGACAGTGTCCTTCAGTCAGTATTTCTCAATCTTTTAAAACCATAATTTCCTTTGAAAAATATAAAAAAAAAAAACCTCACTACAAGATTATTGTGAACTTGCCTCCCTAGAAACAGACCTTGGACTCCTAGAAAAGCCTACCCCATTACATTAACATTTTTAAAGTTTTGTGTGCTCAACAGCCAAAAATAATTTTGTAGATATATTCTTTCACCAGTTTGTACTATGGGGAGAATAATTTTGAATTACAAATATATTTACCACAATAAAGATTTTTTTTTCAAGCAACACATCTTTTCAACCCTTCTACTTTAAGAAATATTGTTTAGTCTTACTGGCCATTCCTCACAACTATTTTCTAAACCTAGAAAAGTACAAATTCAACCAAAGGCCCATGAATATTACTCTTTGTAAAAGTAAAGGGAGAGTGAACTAACATTTATTTAATGTCTACTGTGTACTAGGCATGAAAGTAGGTATGTTCATGTACATTTTCCATTTAACATTCACAACAATCTATGCTGCAGGCACTGTGATCCTAATTTTATAAATGACAAAACTGAAGCCCAGAGATATGAAGTGGGTTGTTTCAAGCTAGACAGCTGATAACTAAGTCAAGATATGGCCCTGTTTTTGCCTAAAGAATGTTATTCTTCTCACTCTCAAAATGCTGCCCCAACTGCAAAAATGGTATCTAATTAGTCTTCTTTTTTAAATGATTAAAAATCTAATAAAGATGCATGTATGTAAGTTCAATTCAAACTTGGAGATATTAGTTTGTGAATAGTATAATTACTTTAACTCATTTTAAGGTTAAAAATATTTTTCACTTTTAATTTATAGGAAAAAATTTGTAGACTTGTAGAATATATCCAAATTTTTGTAAGTTATTTAGAATTGATTTTAATCAATTCAGGAAATAGCATAGTTCCAAATTTCAGTTGTTCTTCTTTGGCTATGGTTGTGAGTGATTGAATGAAGGACACCATGTTCATGGTGATCAAACTGGTTTGGGTAATTCACATAAGATTTTTGTAGTTCAAAGAACAAGGTAAAGGTAAGATAAGACAAAGCAAGCTAGGTTCCCAAATGGCCTGTCACAGTTTTCCTCTAGGGAGTGGGAGGGGCCACCACCAGCAATTTACCTATTTCATTTTCCCTAATCCCAAAATGACAAGCCCACATACCAGCACTATCATCAAAGAACATAGGAGAAGCAAATTTGATAAATGTGTTCATTTAGTAGTATTAATGACTTAATGATGAAGGGTGAAAATATGGGGGGAAAAATAAGAGAGTGAAGCTTTGTAGAGTTGTATTAGAAAAAGAGCAGTCATCTTGAGGCCTAGGTTATACCCTCCTCACTCTGTTACTTGCTAACCTTATGTCTTCAGGTAAATTAAATCACTTCTTTGAGCCTCAGGTTCCTGATTTGTAAAACTGAGATGTTATCTTTACAATATATGCCTTTGATGATGGTTAATAGCAATTATAGATGTAATAATGCTTTGTAAAGTAAATCAGCACTGGGTTGAGATGGTGGTGGTTGCTTTAATGATGGTAGTGTTAGTGCTGGTGGTATGTGGAGCAGGGGTTGAAAGGAGGCATGTCGATAAAGTCAAGAAAGTTAGAGCTGGAAAGACATTAAAGCTTATCCGGTTCAAATTATCTTATTTTAATAACGAGGAAAATTAAATCTACAGAGTGGAACAGGCTTAGCAGGGCAACATGAAGATTTGAGTAGTTACTAGAATTAGTATTAGTATTGGAATAGTTAATATGTACTTGAATAGTTAATAGTTAATAGTAAAATTAGTATTTTAATAATTGAGAGTCATATTAGTATTTGAAAAATTACTAGAATCCAAGTGTCTTAACTCTAAATCCAGTACTCTTTTCAATATAATTGACTGCTTCTGAGTAGTTTCCATTCTACAACATATTGCCACATTCAGCTCACTACTGTAACAACAATTTTTTTCTAGTACTCTATACACAGATGTATTATGGTCTAGGTTCACAGATAAAACTCCGTAAAGAACTCTGGTTTTTATACAACCCCACCCTGACACCTGGTGGACAGCCATTTGTCATATATTCAGAGTTATAAAAGTGCTAGAACTACAACCAAGAATATAGCTTATTCATCATTGAAGAACATTCTTATCTATAGACGTCCCACTTTAAAATATCCATCCATGCAATAAATTGTTTGGAGAAAAATAATTTTAGCTTTCTATACTCATGAAGAGCCCTATCACAATTGAAATCATAATAGCTGTCACTTTTAGAAAGAAACTTAATTCTGTTGAGCTTCTAATTTCTTATCTGTAAAGGAGTATAATAACAATTAACTCAGAACTCGGACAAGGATTAGAGGTAAGATATGAATAACCTTTAGCTAGTGACTGACAGAAAGCATGTGGAAACTTCTTGGACTTAGTATTTCAGAGACTTAGGAATCTGGCACAAATTCTGATGTTACAACAATGTAAGCTCACTTTGGTTGTACCTTTGTGAAACCACAGTATGGAGCTGGTTGGTTGAAAAGAAAAGCTGCCTTTGGGTGGATGTTATTGGTACCTACTTTCTTGAACTCAGCTTCGTTTAAGCATATTTAAACACCTGACATATTTTTTGTGTTCTGAGACAAAATTTAGTTATTTTATAAAGTAGTGTTTAATGACCAAATTACCATTTAAGTTTTGAGGATTCCTGTTGGATTTTAAATAAAAAGCTGAGTTTATAGGCTTTAAAGCTCTTAGACGTACAGATTTATTAGACTCTAACTTTATTATCCTATGAGTCTCTTCTCCATACGCTTACCTTTATAAGTCATGTATCAATTGAGCTTCTACTGCATGACTAACTCTCTGCAAAGAAAAGAGTATAAAAGTATAAGATAGACTTCCTTCAGAGATTCTCATTGTATATCCTATAAGTCCACAAAGAGTACAAAAAAGAAGGACAAAATTAGAATAGGTTTGCCCAGTGCAAGGAAAAGATGAGGACTGAGATGGGATCTTGAAAGATGAGCAAAATATTGACCTCTGAGATGGGATCCAGGGAG